ATACTGTAGGCCTTTTTCAATTTTAATCATATATATATATATATATATATATATATATATATATATATATACAAATATTCACACATATATGTGTATGGGATTTAAGCAAAACACGCTTGTAAAACGTATAAATGTTATAAGAAACATTACTACTTCAGCTTCCTGTCTAATTTTGCGACAATTCAGGCCTTCAAACGCAAACGGCTTTTCCTATTCAATTTTATTCTAATATTTAATAAGAAAATAAATATACACCATTTTCATTGGGGAGGTTGATCGTTACCATAACAGTTGACGGCTGTGCGTTTTAAAGAATTTGTCTAGAATTGAAAGCAGAAATTATAGGAAAAGGCAATAAGAGTACAACCTACCTGCCCCGTGGAGATGCATATATGTTTCTTAATGTAGAATTGAGAGATACACTATTCGGAATTTCTATCAGGACACACGCCACTAAAAACAAAAGAATAAAGACAACAATACATATATGGTTATTGAACAGCCTGGTCAATTTCATGAGGAAGAAAGGAAGTTTACGTGTTCAGAAAATTATTTCGGAATCGCACAAACATTAAAGGAATAAGAAAAGAATGCTAGAGAGGTTTGTCAATATACTAAGGAATGCTAGATACATAAGAAAGAACATGAGATGTTAGACGTAAGGGAGAATCGGCTGTTATGTATGGAAGTCGCACATCAATGCGACTAACGTAACAATGCGGTTGAAAATGATCTTCAGCTGATGATTTTGTTATTTCGAGTTAGTGAAATCTTTATCATTCTCAAGCAATGCCGTTATTTGATTGCTGCTTCAACTGCCTATAGCGATTTACTAAGTGAAGCTTATATGTGGTACAAGCCGAATATATGGAGGCACCGGTGAGAATCGAACTCACTATTCAGTCGTAACGGATTTAGTGAGAAAAGCTTGCTAACCATTATACCACGTGGAGGTACCTTTGCTTGAAATGTCTATGGATCCTCATAAAATTTCGCAAACCAATTCTTACTCTTTTGATCTGTAAATCTTTGAGTCCTGGCTACCGTTTTACCGGTGGAAAAGGATGTAATACCCAACAAGTTTATCAGTGGTAGAGAAAAATGACTTAATGCCTAGCTACCGGTTGAACGGTGGTAGAAAAATTGATTAATGCCTAGCTACCGGTTGAACGGTGGTAGAGAAAATGACTTAATGCCCAGCCACCGGTTGAACATTGGTAGATTAAAATGACTTAATACCTGGGTACCGGTTGAACGGTGGTAGAGAAAAAATGAATTAATACCCAGCCACCGGTTGAACGGTGGTAGAGAAAAATGACTTAATGTCTAGCTACCGGTTGAACGGTGGTAGAGAAAGATGACTTAATGCCCAGCCACCCGTTGAATTGTGGTAGAGAAAAATGGCTGAATACTTAGCTACCGGTTGAACGGTGGTAGAGAAAAATGACTTAATGCCAGCCAACGGTTGAACGGTGGTAGAGAAAAATGGCTGAATGCCTAACTACCGGTTGAACGATGGTGAGAAAAAATGTCTGAATATTTAGACCGGTTGAACGGTGGTAGAGAAAATGGGTTGAACGGTAGTAGAGAAAAATGTCTGAATGCTTAATTCCCAGCTACCGGTTGAACCGTTGGTAGTAAGAAAAAATGACTTAATGCCAGCCAACGGTTGAACGGTGGTAGAGAAAAAGAAAAATATACCGGTGAAAATGTCTTGCATAGCTACCGGTTGAACGGTGGTAGAGAAAAATGGCTTAATTCCCAGCTACCGTGGTTTAAACCGTGGTAACGGTTGAAAAAAATGACCAGTTGAACGATTTCTTAATTCCAGCTACCGGTTGAACCGTGGTAAAGAAAAATGACTTAATGCCAGCCAACGGTTGAACGGTGGTAGAGAAAAATGGCTGAATGCCTAGCTACCGGTTGAACGATGGTAGAGAAAATGTCTGAATGCCTAGCTACCGGTTGAACGGTGGTAGAGAAAAATGGCTTAATTCCCAGCTACCGGTTGAACCGTGGTAGAGAAAAATGACTTAATGCCAGCCAACGGTTGAACGGTGGGTAGACACATCTAACTATTGTGTTGGTGCATAATTAACAGGCGTTTTTGAAAACAATAATTATTAAAAAATGAAACATAATAATTCAACAAATTTTAAATGATTATTCCAGAGCGAATGATTATCGACACGCATATTTTTATAACCTGAAATAATAGTTTTATTAAAAAAAGTAAACCAAATACCAATTTTTATTAACAAATAAGTCGCCTACAAAAATACCGGATAATTATGCATCAATATTTTTGTAACTACAATGAGACATTACGTACCATTTATTTGCGAATTTTGACTCAGGTGCTCAGGCAGAAGAGTTAAAATTGTTTAGGAACATGTGCCTTTTTTAAAGGTGACAATCATTTGTGACTTTCTTAAAACAAAAAGTAACAAAATACAAACAAAAATGATGAGTATGTCGGTGTTAGGATTAATATAAAAAACACGTAAATATATCATTTAAAAAAATATGCTAATATTACAAATGGTTCATTCCAATCAATAATACTCTTTTTTTAATAAGATTATTCAAAGTAAAAGTTCCTACATCCATCTAACGCCAAAACTAAACGAAACTGTTTTTCATTCCAATAGACGCATAAAACCATCTATGTAACATCGTTCCATTAGATTCTATTTTGAAAAAAAAACATATCGATTTGGTATTCTGGAAGATAATCAGTTTAAGATAAGTAGTCCTTATAATTATAGCGCCTATTATCTAACAAGAGATAGAGTATTAATAGTAATAAATAAAACTGCAAATTCACTCATCTTATTCCTACACTTATCTATCTCATTCTGTTCAGATCTATCTATCTATCTATCTATCTATCTATCTACCTATCTATCTATCTATCTATCTATCTATCTCATTCTGTTCAGATCTATCTATCTATCTATCGCATTTTGTTCAGATCTATCTATCTATCTATCTATCTATCTATCGATATTATGTTCTATCTATCTCATTCTATCTATCTCATTTATTTTCTTCAGATCTATCTATCTATCTATCTATCTATCTATCTATCTATCTCATTCTGTTCAGATCTATCTATCTTTCTCATTCTGTTCAGATCTATCTATCTATCTATCTATCTATCTCATTCTGTTCAGGTCTATCTATCTATCGCATTTTGTTCAGATCTATCTATCTATCTATCTATCTATCTATCTATCTATCTATCTATCTATCTCATTCTGTTCAGATCTATCTATCTATCTATCTATCTATCTATCTATCTATCTATCTATCTATCTCAGTTTGTTAATATATATCTATCTATGCTTGGCCATAGTTTTTTGCTGGCACTCACCTTCCAAAGTCACTTCAAGATGATAAGCGACAGTCACCAGAAAACTATTAGGAAATTTGGAAAAAAAAAAAGCATGCATTTAAAAGAGCGTATCTTTAAATTCCACTAAATAACCTGACTGCATTAGAATAAGTGATGGAGTCAGTGAGGTGATTCGGCATCAATCAGTAGAGACGCCGCTCGGTATTTTATGGAAGATCTAAGAGTTAGGAATCGTACAAATCTCAGGATTAACAGATAAATGAAACTTCATATACACCTGATTAAAGGAGAGGTAGATTAGTGTCATAAAAACAAAGAACTATAAGATAAATAACATTCAATTCCAAAAAGGTTTAAAAAGCATTATCCGTTAAAAAGAATAAAATTCCTTTTTTTTTGTAAAAGGAATGTAAAAAGGTATGGCGTTAAAAAAAAAATGGTTAAAATTAAAAGGTCGGCTACTGTTAAAAAAGGTATGGCGAGGTGTAGTATCACGTCCTCAAAATTTGGCTTTTATTGAATTCAGGAAATTACACCGGATGGAAAGCGAATATTTCCGTAAAGTAAACATTTGATAAAATACGTAACAAAGGACGGTTGGAACTGCTAGGTAACCTTGATGTATTCGGGAAGGGTATTAAAATAATCCCGTATTCTTCCTGGCAGCAAACCGCCTGCATTCGGACAGAAAATGAGTACAAAAATAGAAAGTGTTGTAAGACAAGGATATGTCTTCTCACCGGACATATTCAACCTATACAGTGAAGCCATTCTGAGTGAGTTAGAAGTTCTACCAGGATATATTAATGACAGCCACCATAACACAGTGTTGATAGCAGACACGGAAAGGAAGCTACAAGATCTCCTACAGAAGTTAGTGAAAAAAGGTGAGAAGAAAGAACTAAACATGAATTCTCAAAAAAAAAACAAAAAAACAAAAAAAAAAAACAGAATAAATAATTATTAGCAAAAAGGAACAGACAATCATGCCAATTACAAATTAGAGATACCAAAATCAAACATGTACAATAATTCAAATGTCTGGGATGTGTTTGAGGATGAAAAGTGTGACACTGAAATCCGATAGTGCATTGGGATAGCCGAAGTGATTTCCAGAATCTAATCAAAGTGTTAAGAAACAGGAAAAAATCGTTACAAACAAATGTACTGAAAAAAATTATCTGTTATCTATAGTGTATCAAATTCATCATAATAGATTCTTCAATATTTCTGAAAATGTTTTTCAAATAATCCGGATTTCATTTTCTGTTTTTCTTTGGCTATTAAATGTTTGGTTTGGAGTCTGACTATATTCCTGAAACGAGGTATTAAGTACATTATTTAGATTATTCGGACAATTGTCCCCATCTTTGTCGCCATATTTATCACAACGTTTTGGCCGTTGTACGCTCCGGAATTTCGAACTGAACCCTTTATTTCGCTCACTGGGGTAGACTGTTCTAGTTCCATGATTGATGGATGTCAGTTATTGGTTATCGCCTTCCCTCTGAAATTTCTGCTTAACCGGGTACTGAACTCACACGCTTTGGTTCTTATCACTGGATCTAACCAACGCCTTTATCCACTGTGCCATGTGACCTTGAGGACATCTGGGTATGAATTTCTGGGTATTATAAACCTAATGTCTTCAGCAACCATTTTTACCAGTGCTCATATTGCAATGTTTGCTGTTATCATTTCATGTTTTTACCAGAGCTCATATTGCAACTTTGTTGTTATCATTGCTTTTCTCTTCGTTGATTTGTTTTGTTTTACGGCATATCAACCTCAATGGATCATTTATTGCCAACGATTTTTTTTTCCTTGATAATATTTTTGTTTTGTCAAAAATCTCTTTCTGGTAACATTTTTTTCCTCAAAAATGTATAGCTGGTAATATTATTTTTTCAAAAACGTATTGCTGGTAAAATTTTATATTCAAACATGTATTGCTGGTAATAGTGTTTTTTCAAAAACGTATTGCTGATAATATTTTTTTCTTCAAAAATTTATTTCTGGTAATAATTTTTTACAATATATATTTGATATTAAAACCTATTTTTTTTACACTTTTGTAATGCTTTTTACCCTAGTTTAGTGGTTAACCATTTGCTCATAGCTGAGACCCCAACAGTTGCTACTACCCCGGGTCAGGATGGACCTGGGAACACCAGCAATAAATAAAGGAGGTTCCACGCTCCTCAAAAACTTCTGATCAGAAGCCTTGCTGTTGGATGTAGTTTATCGTCTTACCCTGGACGCGGATGTAGTTTATCGTCATACCCAGGACGGCCATCAAAGGTTAAACAAATAAAATATGCGGATATTTACTATATGGGAGTAAATGTTTGACAATCCCATTCCATATGAAGAAGAGACTTGAAGAAATGTGTTTCTAAGACGGATGCTCAGAACACCATGGAAACAAATCGTGGAGAACTAGAGTCGCTAAATCCTGAATAGAAACGGCACATAGAAGAATAATTTTAATTGATGTAATATGTTTGTTTACCGACATATCAACTCCTTTCTGGATCATTTAATGCCAAATTTTAATTTTCTTGGGAGGTTTAGAGTTAAGAAAATCGATAGGTTATTCTGCTATCACAACAGAATACATGGTAGATGATACTTAGCGTTTGTGCATATACATGGACATAATTACTAGATACGGTGATACGTGTGTTTTATGTTCTACTTTTCTTGAAGTTATATCTTGGAATACAGTTTGATTTAAGAAATTGTAGGATATTATATGCATTGATATCATAAAAAAAATCTTTTATTTTGGTTCTTTGACTTGTTGGGTGATTGTTTAGCGGTATATGAACATCTCCATGGGTTATTTAATTTCGAAATGTTAATAAAAAAATTTGGTTTTAAAATATATATTGTTGTTATATTCTTTCAAATACAAATAAAGCCTCTTGGTCATTTTGCTATAAAATGTATTGGTGGAAATTTTGCTATAAAATATATTTTTGGAATTTTTGCTTTAAAATGCATTGTTGGTCATTTTACTATAAAAATGTATTGTTGGTCATTTTACAATAAAAATATATTGTTAGTCATTTTACTATAAAAATGTATTATTGGTCATTTTACTATAAAAATGTATTGTTGGTCATTTTATAAAAAAATGTATTGTTGGTCATTTTACTATAAAATGTATTGTTGGTCATTTTACTATAAAAATGTATTGTTGGCCATTAAAATATAAAATCTATTGTTGGTCATTTTACTATAAAATGTATTGTTGGTCATTTTTACTATAAAATGTTTTGTTGGTCATTTTACTATAAAAATGCATTGTTGGTCATTTTACTATAAAATCTATTGTTAGTCATTTTACTATAAAAATGTATTGTTGGTCATTTTACTATAAAAATGTATTGTTGGTCATTTTGCTAAAAAAATGCATTGTTGGTCATTTTACTATAAAAATCTATTGTTAGTCATTTTGCTATAAAAATGTATTATTGGTCATTTTACTATAAAAATGTATTATTGGTCATTTTACTATAAAAATCTATTTTTGGTCATTTTACAATAAAAATATATTGTTAGTCATTTTACTATAAAAATGTATTATTGGTCATTTTACTATAAAAATGTATTGTTGGCGATTATACAATAAAAATATATTGTTAGTCATTTTACTATAAAAATGTATTATTGGTCATTTTACTATAAAAATGTATTGTTGGCCATTATACAATAAAAATATATTGTTAGTCATTTTACTATAAAAATGTATTATTGGTCATTTTACTATAAAAATGTATTGTTGGCCATTTATATATAAAAATATATTGTTAATTTTACTATAAAATGTATTATTGGTCATTTTACTATAAAAAAAAAATACTATAAAATGTATTGTTGGTCATTTTACTATAAAAAATCTATTATTGTCATTTTTATAAAAAAGTATTGAAGAAGAATAAGAAAAAAGACAGAACAAAGAAAAGAGTATAGTGAGGTCACAGAAAAAGACTGAGTAGTAATGATGTTTCAGAGACAATGGAGACCAAAGTTACGCCTATTCTTAGAATTAAAAAAAAAGGACAGTTGAAATTTCTAGGACACATAAATAGGTAAGAAGGTTGGGAAACATTGACACTCACAGGCCATTCTTTAGAGACTGAGAAAACATAATGTATCCTACCTAACGAGCACGTGTAAATGGATGACAGAGACTAGGATTGTTCGTATAGTCGCAAAGATTGCTTCGAGCTACAAATGACAGAAAGTCGTGGAGATCCATGATACCGCAGGTTTATTATTTTTTCTTTTGTCTTTGTCTTTTTTTTTTTTTTGTTTTCCTTCTCTTTGTTAACTTTTTCTCCTCCTCCTTTAATTCCTTCTTTTTCTCTCTCCTTTCCTTCAGCTATTCACAGAAAAGGATACTTAGTAACTGTTACATTTTTTTATATATGTGTGTACCAGTGAGCTAGCCAAAATGAGCTGACTCATTTTATATTCCACCAATAGAAGAGTTAACCAATCAGAAAGCTCAAAATATTCAATCCGACGTGCATAAAGGCAGCCATTTTGTTTTTTTCTCCCAAAATATCTTCACTGCCAACCTGATATCAAAGACTTAAAGATAAATTATACAATGATATTGTTGTAATCTAGAGAAGGTTACTGAATAGAATAATCAAACGAAGGTTGGTAGTGACCGATAATACTTAGGACAAGAACAAGACATAAGATTCACCAACTGCTAGAAGTGAGTCAAGTGAATTCTGCAATGAATCTCCAACTGCAGACAATAAAACAGTGTTTACTATTGTATTTATATGAATGTGGACATACCCATTATCATCCGTAAGTATTCTACTACAAATATATTTATCTATTTTATTTTATTTTATTGTTTGTTCTTATCTGTTACGCATTTTCGCAGACGACAGGATTTAGTAATTGCGATGTACGTTTTGAAATCGTTTTGCCTTGGTCCAGACTGGATGAAGCAGACTATATTATCAACTAAAATCAATTTTCTTCCATTTACATGCTTGTCTCATTGAGGGCG